AAGTATTATTGCCGACATACATACCTAGCTTGTCGGTGTCGTTGGTTACATACAGCCTTCGCCGCCGTCACAATCATCATTGCCACCCTTGTCAGCAGCAGTGGTGGATTTAATACACACAACACCGTTCGTCGCTTTTCGTATTGACTGGATTGTTCGAGTTGCTGTAGACGCGGCGCTGTTGTTTATATTTGCATTTAGTTAATCTTTTAGTCGGTTTTGTGTTTTTATGATGCCACACGAAGGCAGCCTGGCAGCGGACGGACGGACAGACAGCCGTTCATTCTGTAAGACCCAGTGGTGGCAATTCAAGGTACAACAACAGCATCGGCAGCAGCAGCAGCAGCAGCAAGAGGCATCACAACAAACAGATGTTAATTAAAATAACATCATACCTCTTCAGCTTACTTACCTTCCAGCTTCCAGGCAGATCAACTTCGGCCTAGCAAATGATGCCTTGCGTTAAAGGTTTCCGTTTCTTGTTGTTGTTACTTTTCTTACGTCTTGTCGCCTTGTCACAGGATTTCATGCTACTCAACAAAGTATGGTTGAGAAAAGGATAGAGAAAGAGTGAGTGGGAGAGAGAGAGAGGGAGAGCGTGGTATGCATTTATCACACCATGAGTTTTTCGAAAATTGTACAAGACGGCCTTAGATGTAATTATCATTGTTAATTTTGTGGCATTAGCATTTGTGTTGTTGTTACTGCTGTTGTTGTTGCCGTTGTTGTTACCTCATACGCTTAGCTGTGTTTTCACATGATTTGCTTAATCTAAACGATAATCTCACCGAGGGGAGTTACACACTCACATGCCATTTCCCCCGTCAGGTATAGGAAGATGTAAAGCGTTTCGACGACAAGAAATTATTTTCAAAAGAAATTCCAATTGTCAAATGGTGGGGAAACTTGGCAAGGCGAGGAATATTTCCTTCGAATTGTTTACGGAAATTTTCTTGATGAGATCATCATCATCTTTTGTTGTCTTCGGTGACATCTACGGGATTTCTTTGACATATTGTTCTTGTTGTTTGAAGCAAAGGTGTCAAATTTGATGTAAGAAAGTCAACGAAGCAAAACTATTTGTAATGCATTCGATACGAAGAAAAAATATTTCATCCATCATTTTACATCTTTTACAGGTCCTTATGGAAATTGTATCCTAAACAGGGTTTATTTTAGAAAATTTAAGACCCTCTTAGGCTCTTAAAAAATAAGAGATTTTTTTCTACATTTTCTATAGTAGAAATATTTCTATAGATAAACCAGAAAAACGGCGCATGGTAGTTCAGAATTCAAATTTTCCTAGTTAAAACCGCAATTGTCGTCGTCACGGACTTGGGAATACAAAAAGTTAGGTCAAAATATTACAAATATTGACGTAAAGGAAAATATTTATACCCCACACCACAATGTGGTGCAAGATGTCGTCTACGCTCCGCTTTGTAACATGTAAAAAAATTAGATAAATTTATAATTTCTAATGGTGATATTCATAAAATTTCGGCCTATGTACTCTTGTAAGTCAAATACAGGTCGCATTTATTGCTCGAATGCGATACAAAGTTGATTTGTTTGGCGTAAGCATAAGCCCCATTTACATTAGTGATAATCGGTCCAAATTTACATATATATTCCTCCGATGTCACTTGGAATGAGAGTCACTGATGGAGAGCAGGATAGATTCACCAAAGGGTTTTTGGAAATTCGAACTTTATGATTACGAAAATTTCAAAAATGGAACTTCTAAATCGGTACCATTTAGTATTATGTAAACGGAAAAATGTTGAAACTTTGAATTTAGTATGAGAATCAAGGTTGGAAATCAAGTTGGAGGTGGCTTTGGAAATGTGTACAATATGTGGGAACTGAACTGAATGGTACAAAATTTGGAACTGTTTGGTTTAGGGTGAACGGATGAAGTTGGAATTTTGTATTAGGGTCCTGTTTGTGAACGGTTTGTAATAAAGAGGTGATTTTAGAAATGTACTACAAATGTACGAAAAGTACTAAATATTACTATATTTGGAACTTTTTTGTATTGGGTAAACAGATAATGTTTGAAATCTGAAACTTGGTATTAGAGTCGCTGTTCATGTTTAGCCTGGACATATGGAGGTGGCTTCAGAAATGTGTACTATAATTTTACGAAAAGTACTGAATGACCCGATATTTGGTATTGGGTTGAAGGGATACGATGGTATATGTGTTTGATATTTGGCGGTGGTTTAGAAATGCATCCTTTATTTGTACGTAAAGCACTAAATAGTACTATATTTTGCTATTGGGTGAAAATAGGGCTGAAATCCTGAAATTTGATACAGATGGCACTATTGGTATCTATCGTTAATACATCGAGGTGATTTTGGAAATGTGTACTATAACTGTTCCAAAAGTACTTATTGGTACTAAATTAGGTATTGGGCGAAGAGATAGAGCTGGAATCCCGAAATGTGATAATGGAGACTCTGTTGGTATATGGGATTGAAATATATAATTGGTTTTGGAAAAGTATACTATAATTGTAGGAAAAGTACGAAGTAGAACTAAATTGGGTATTGGGAGAAATGATTGAGCAGAAATCCCGAAATCTTATATTGGTGCCTCTGTACTGAAAGGATAGGGCTGGAATACTCATATTTGATATTGATGTATAGATATTGAGGAATACAACTGAAATTTGATATTTAGATTACTGATGGTATCTGTTTTTGAGATTTGGCTGTGGTTTGTAAATGCCTACTATATTTGTTCGAAAAGTACTAAATGGTATAAAACTTGGTATTGGATGGGTGGATAGGGTTAGGATACTCAAATTTGATATTGATCTGGGATTGAGATTTGGATATGGTTTTGGAAAAAAAATTAATTTCGTGATTGTACTTTTATACAATTGTACGAAAAGTACTAAATTGAACTAAATTTAGTTTGGGTTAAGAGAGAGGATAAAGATATGGAGTGGTTTTGCAAATGAGTACTAAAATAAAACAGACGATTGCTCAAAAGTCTTAGGTACATGGAACTTCTGTAAATAGAAGATCATAGACGCATTTTTAGTTATTTTAGAAGGGCCTTGACAAAAGGTCTTTAACTAGAAGGCCTTTGTGGATCCTCTGTAGCTTGAATTATTCTTCAGATAGAATAGTTTTGAAAGGAATTTTATATTTCAAAGACCTTTTCCAGGTCTTCAATATTCAAAAGATGATTGAAAGGTCTTCTGTGGATGCTGATTCTATCAACAGTTATGAGAAAATTATCAAGTTTTCTACTGCAAGAAGGCTTTTAAAGGCGGTTTAGAGCTAGAAGACCTTTGACAATTTTTGTTGATCGCAATCACTTAAAAATCTTTAGTTTTACAAAGGCTTGTCGCTCGAAGTAAGTGGACATTTTTGGCCACGGAAAGTCGACAAATAAATATTTTACTGCATTCCTCATTTCTTCTTTGTCAAATATTGCTATAAAACTTGTGACGGTAGTTTAACACCCTGCGCCACGGTTACGAACAAGTTATTTTTCATTTGCCAACGCCCTGTCAGAAACTCACAACCTTCGGTTATGTATAGATATTTGTTTTTCTATAGCGACCATATAACGGTACCATCAGATATTCGATATTTTCATGATTTAGGCAACATTTTTCGGATTTGTTTTAAATTTCGTGTTTGTAGTTCATAGTGGGTTTTACAACCGTTGTCAAAACACGATCCATTGTGGTCCACGGTTTACACATAACGGTACAAACCAATATTCGATGTTTTGATGACCCTAGCAACCTTTTCCCTCGGAATTGTTTCGGATTTTGTGTTTGAGACTTGATAATTGTTATACCCTCCACCATAGTTAAGGAATGACGTTTGTTACGCCTCGAAATATACTTTTTAGACCCCACAAAGTATATATATTCTTGATCAGCATAACATTCTATGTCGATTTAGCGATGTCCGTTGTTGTGTCCGTCTGTGGAAATCAGTCTAACTTCCGAACGAAATGAAGTAGGCTGATAAAATTTTATTCAAAAGCATATTATGTCTGCAGAACTTTTGGTATTGAAAATGGGCCATGTATCGTGTATGTATAGACCCCATATAACGGTACCTCCCGATATTGGGTATTTTGATGGTTTTAGCGACATTCACCGGTCTTGTTTCAAATTTGGTATATGAAGTTCGTATAGCCCCCATATAACGGCACCTCCCTTTATTCGGTATTTTGATGATTTTTCATCGATTTTTTTCCAAGTTTCGTCTTTGAATTTTGTAATGACTTATGACAAAAGTTATTTATGCAGGTCATAGTATAGACCCTAATATAACAGCTGCATTCGGTATTTTATAGAATTTTAACAGAATTTTTAACGGATTTTGGTTTTTTGAAAATTGCAAAATTCGTTCTAAATGGTGGAGGGTATTAAAAGATCGACCTGGCCGAAATTCCAGCTTTGTAGCTTGTTTTTATACATATACATTTTTGCCTAATGGTTGAGATTATTGAAAGTTCAGACAATTTTTCACTTGTTTTAAAGAATAAGCTATTATTTTCGACAGATTAAGGTTTCTTCATATTACCTTTTAAAAGGTTACGCGACTCATATAGCTTCCTAGTTTTTGTCGTATAGCTAAAATCCGAAGTAGTTTTTTGAGATATAAAAGATTATTGAATTCCTGCTGAAAAGGCCTTTAACTCTGCAGTAGTTATTTAGGATATAAAAGGCTATTAAATACCTGCTGAAAAAGCATTTAAAGGTGGTAAATATAAGGACGATCTTTTACAGGCTATAGGTCTTTTTAAAGGTCTAATAGGTAGAAGATAGTTCTCTCTCGTTTTATAATTCCAATAAAAACATATTTCACAAATTTCCCATTTTTCCGTTTTTTTTTTGCCATATCCTACATTTTATGACATTCCACTTATCACTCTCCCGCATACATTCCGGCCCTTGACGAAAACAAACCTCACTGCTACTATTACAAATCTATGGCTAGGCATTTCGTACCACAATATTATGGCTTTTATTTATTGCATACATTTTTCATGGTAGAACACTGAGGGAAGTGAAGTGGAAGAAGAGACGGAAGAAACGGCAACTAGCCAGCCAACTGTGTGGCGCCCAATGTTGATGGTCGTGGTGGAAGGTGGCAACGTTAGCAAATATTTAATTATGAAAAAAAAAAAAAAAGAAACAATTCAATGGAAAATTGTAAACGAATGATAGACATGACGCGTTACTTACATGTGATAAATCGCATTTGCGGTTAGACACATTTGATGGGCATACAGTCCAACCAACCAACCATCCATCCATCCAACTGTATGACTATCCGTCTGTATGCCCCACGTTCGCTCATCATCCTTGGCAAACTTTGAGGTTTTCAACATATTTCTGTAATGATGAGAGTTAAAATATATATAATTTTTGTTGTTCTGTTTTTTGGACTGTGAGTTTGGTGATAGGTTTCGGGTTGGTGTATTTATGTGTGAGTATGTGATAATAAAATAAATTAATTAACTTCATTATGGTCAGAGTGCGTAGAGAGTAATAAAAAAATATAACATTGATAATAAAAATATCCCACACAACAATATATTTGAAATTACCACAATGTGTATACATATGGCACGAGAGAGAGAGATAGGGAGAGGGAGAGAGACATTTAATTGGCGGTGATAACTTTGGCGACATTATTTCCAAGTAGGAATATTCTGTGTAAAGTATTGGGGAAATTTGGTGACAGTTTGAAATGAGTTGTTGTTTAGCTTGATATTTATTTAAAATTAAATTATTGTAAACTTTGATGACTTTATATGGGAAGACATTCCCGTCTTATGTGAGAAGACCTTCACGTATTCTCTATGAGAAGACCTTCGCGTCTTCTATATGAGAAGACCTTCACGTATTCTCTATGAGAAGACCTTCACGTCTTCTTTATGAGAAGACCTTCACGTCTTCTCTATGAGAAGACCTTCACGTATTCTCTATGAGAAGACCTTCACGTCTTCTCTATGAGAAGAACTTCACGTCTTCTCTACGAGAAGAACTTCACGTCTTTTCTATGAGAAGACCTTCATATCTTCTCTATGAGAAAACCATCACGTCTTCTCTACGAAAAGACCTTCACATCTTCTCTATGAGAAGACCTTCACGTCTTCTCTATGAGAAGACCTTCACGTCTTCTCTATGAGAAGACCTTCACGTCTTCTCTCTGAGAAGACCTTCACGTCTTTTCTATGAGAAGACCTTCATATCTTCTCTATGAGAAAACCATCACGTCTTCTCTACGAAAAGACCTTCACATCTTCTCTATGAGAAGACCTTCACGTCTTCTCTATGAGAAGAACTTCACGTCTTCTCTACGAGAAGAACTTCACGTCTTCTATATGAGAAGACCTTCACGTCTTCTCTATGAGAAGAACTTCACGTCTTCTCTATAAGAAGAACTTCACGTCTTCTATATGAGAAGACCTTCACATCTTCTCTATGAGAAGACCTTCACGTCTTCTCTATGAGAAGACCTTCACGTCTTCTATATGAGAAGACCTTCACGTCTTTTCTATGAGAAGACCTTCATATCTTCTCTATGAGAAAACCATCACGTCTTCTCTACGAAAAGACCTTCACATCTTCTCTATGAGAAGACCTTCACGTCTTCTCTATGAGAAGACCTTCACGTCTTCTATATGAGAAGACCTTCACGTCTTCTATATGAGAAGACCTTCACGTATTCTCTATGAGAAGACCTTCACGTCTTCTATATAAGAAGACCTTCACGTCTTCTCTATGAGAAGCCCTTCTGGCCTCCTATGAGAATCCCTTCTCGCCTTCTATGAAAAGCCCTTTTTGCACTCTAAGAGAAGACCTTCTGGCCTTCTATGAGAAGACCTTCTCGTCTTCTATGTAAAGCCTTTCTGGTCTTTTATGAAGAAGCCCTTCTGGCCTTCTATGACAAGCCCTTCTGGCCTTTTATGAGAAGCCCTTCTGGCCTTCTATGACAAGCCCTTCTGTCCTTTTATGAGAAGCCCTTCTGGCCTTCTATGAGAAGACCTTCTGGCATTCTATGAGAAGACCTTCTTGTCTTCTGTGAGAAGACCTTCTGGCCTTCTGTGAAAAGACATTTGGCCTTCTATGAGAAGACCTTCTTGCCTTCTATTAGAAGACCTTCTGACCTTCTATGAGAAGGTTATCAGCTGTTCTATGAGAAAACCTTCAGCTCTTCTATGAGAAGACCTTCAGCTTCTTCTATGAAGAGACCTTCAGCCGGATTTTTTAGGAAAAGATGAGGTAAAAAACCGTCCCAAGGGAGGAAGCTTGAGTAAACCCTGCTAACATCCGTCGACGGTTAGAGAGTCGGTTACCTACTTTAATCCTATAAAATCGATTCCGAAGAAAACGATTTCCAAACGATGGGAATTTGTATACAATTTCATTGTACCAGGCAGAGAAAAAGACCTGACGATATCTAGCCAGACAACTTCTTGTAGAAGCCTTTACCAACATAGCCGTTGAGGCATGGGTCGTGGAGAGACCAGACATAAAACTGAACTGATAATCTCATCCTTTCTTTCTTTTAATCATTACCAGAATAAAGGATTCGAATATTTTGCCTAACGGTGATAGAAGTGAAATCGAACTGTAGTAACCATAACCAGGGGGCAGAACCCAGCTTCATTAAAGAACATTTTTGGCACCCTTCCAAGGAAAGTACCCTAGATTCAGGTAAAAATTGAAGAGTATTTTCAGAAAGGACAGAACTCTGTTTCCTGCCTTTTTCAGGAATATTTTGTTCATTCCTCAGGATTTACGGCGTGAAAGCGCAAAGACAAACTTCCTGTATTAAACAAATCCACTATCCTCCGAAAGGGAGATGTTGTCCACCGACGAGCCATAAGCAGAGCTAAACGGCACTAGCGGAGAATGGTGTCCAACACTGAAAAAAATCGCTGACCGAAACTCCTCCATATCGAAGCGTTCCCTGCACCTGGTCCGCCAACATCTCAGTTATATGTTCATCAGAACTATTCCTAGCACCAGTGACGTCTACGAGAGGGCTAACAGACCAGACGAAAGGCAAGACCAGTCATTCCTTTGCCCGAAGTCTTTGCCAACAAAGCTACTGGAAGACTTTTAGACATGGGTCGTGTTAAGACCAAACCTGAAACCCAACTGAAAATCCTATGAAATTCTTCTTTCTTCCACGATTCTGATAAACCTTGTTGAATAAAAGATTCGAACAACTTTCTGAACGGGGATATATGTGCCTGCTTCAGAACTCATCCTAGCACCAGCGACGTTTACGAGAGGGCTGATAGACCAAGCGAGAGGCAAGACCAGTCATTCGTTTGCTCGAAGTCTTTGCCAACAAAGCTACTGGTACACATTTAGGCATGGGTCGTGCTGATACCAAACCTGAAACCCAACTGAAAATCCTATAAAATTCTCCTTTCTTCTATGATTCTGCTAAACCTTGTTAGAATAAAGGATTCGAACAACTTTCCGAACGGGGATATAAGTGAGAGGGATTAGAACCCCGTTTCAGAATGGGTAACCTATTGGGTACCAAGGAAAGTACCCTAGCTTTGGGCAATAGCTTACAATTTGTGCTGTTTTTACTCTTTTTATGAATCATACCACATTTCAGAATTTTTGTATCAGCCCTTTTGCCTTTGTTTCGGTGGGTCACTCTGGTACCTGTACATTTTCATAACCTTGACAAACTTTTCCAATAATAACAAATCAAATTTCTTGCAGCTGTAAAGGGATTAAAAAAGGTATCCTAACTAATTTTAGTTAACCTCCTTTAAGTGACAAAAAAATCCCTCAGATACCTGCCAATACTGGCTACATTTTTCTTCTTGAGCGAATAAGAGTTTGAAATGCCCCTAGTTTCTTATTTCACTCGGCTAACGGTATTACCTAACACGATAATAAAATACTCAACTTTTTTTCCAAGATAACAATGTATGGTCGGCCGCAGTTATATATCCATCCATGATAGCGCCATGGGCCCGCTGACAATCTGTTATGACAATAGAAACAAATCAACTACAACAACAGCGGCAATAATATGTGACGTTATGATTTCGTTTATCGTATATTATAGAGCGAATATTGAATAACAGTTTTGTTGTTTTCAATTTTTGTTCCATTCGTCTTTTAGTTGTTGTTGTCGTTGGATTTTAAAAGCGGTGAGGAGGGTGTGAAACCTTTGGACTTGTTTTGCGCAGCTTATGAAAAAAGCTGTAGGCCCCCCGAGTTAAACAAAAATAGCAAAAGCAGCAGTAGCAGTAGCAACAACAAAAACTCAACTCAAATAGAAATTCAATTGAATTTGTATTGAAAATAAATTCAGTTTTGATACACACAAATAGATAAACAGACAACAAAGTTGACAGCAATTTAAATAACAATAAATGGAGGAGGTATTCTTTGTTGGTTGGCAGCGGAAATATTTGTTAATTAAACAAAACTAAACAATTTCGTTTTTCTGGTTGTTTGTTTGGTGTTTTTCTTTTTGTGGGGCCGTGAACTTTTGGGCTTTGTAGAACATAAATGGATTTTTTTATTGTTTTCATTATGAATTAATGTAAATTTTATTTTTTTCCGAAATTGAATTTCATTACATCGAGTTAAAAAGTATCAGTTGGGTTTGCCGATAGATGTATACCCTCAGCCTATGTTCGATTATTTAAAAATATTTGTGCTTGTGTTATGATTATTCAAACTCTTGACCCTCTATGAAGTAGGGTCCAAAGGAATGGGCCAATATTGTCCATTTCGTATAGGACCTAAATAAATATGATATAAATACTGCGTCGTCCCAGGTATGGTATATCGACTTCTTCCTTCACTTTATATGAGATTTGTGATAATTTTTAGAAAATGTTAAAATGAACGTGAGGTATCAGATATACTGGACCAAAGTATTCCATTTTTATACCCTCCAACATACTATGGAGGGTATATTAACTTTGTCATTCCATTTGTAAGTCCCAACAAAGTATATACATTGTTGCCCATATTCGACGGACCCATCTGGCAACGCCATAACTTTTGACAGAGATGTCACATCGCTCCCCAAGAACATCCCAAAAACGCCGTTCTCAGCAGTTGGGCATGGCTCGGCCCACTTTACAACGGATTATTCGCTTTGATTTGCATTTGTTCCCGTACAAAATTCAACTGACGCAAAGAATGTTGCCTGCGTACAAGCCTCGTCGATTGGAATGGGCCCAAAGAAAAAAAAAACATGGGTCCGTCGAATATGGGCAACCCGTATATTCTTGATCAGTGTAAAATTCTAAGTCGATTATCGATTTCCGTCCGTCTGTCTGTCTGTCTATCCGTCTGTCTGTTGTAATCACGCTATTTTCCGAATGAATTAAGATAGAATGCTAAAGTTTTGCCCATTTGTTTATTTTTCCAGTAGGCAAGTTAAGTTCGTAAGTGGGCCATGTAGGTCCACGTCTTCGTATAGCCCCCATATAACGGTACCTCCCTATATTCGGTATTTTGATGATTTTAGCGACATTATTAACCGGAATTATTTCAAACTTGTTATTTAAAGTTCGTAATGGATACTACAGCCTAGGACAGAAAATTGTCTGTGCAGGTCTTCGTATTGCCCCATATAACGGTACTTCCCAATATTCGGTATTTTGATGATTTTAGCGTCATTATTCACCGGAATTGTTTCAAATTACGTATTTAGGGTTCGTAATGGGAACTACAGTCTGTGATAGAAAATTGTCTATGCAGGTCCAGGTCTTCGTATAGGCCCCATATAACGGTTCCTCCCTATATTCGGTATTTTGATGATTTTAGCGACATTTTTCACCGGAATTGTTTCAAATTTGTTATTTAAAGTTCGTAATGGATACTACAGCCCATGACAGAAAATTGTTTGTGCAGGTTCACGTCTTCCTATAGCCCCCATATAACGGTACCACCCGATATTCGGTATTTTGATGATTTTAGCGTCATTATTCACCAGAATTGTTTCAAATTTGTTATTTAAAGTTCGTAATGGATACTACAGCCTATGACAGAAAATAGTTCGTTATGGGAACTCCAGTCTGTGACGGAAAATTGTCTATGCAGGTCCAGGGCCTTCGTATAGGCCCCATATATCAGTACCTCCCTACATGCGGTATTTTGACGATATTAGGTACAATTCCCACCGATATGGTTTGAGATGTGGTATTTGAATTTCGTAATGCATGCTACAGCCTGTGACAGAAAATTGTCTATGCTGGTCCGGGTCTTCGTACAGCTCCGATATAACGGTACCTCCCAATATACGATATTTTGATGATTTTAGCTACATTATTCACCGTTTATTTCAAGTTTCGAATTTTAGTATGGTAATGGCTTATGACAAACAATGCCTATGTAGGTCCACGTCGTATAGACCCCTATATAACGGCCATATTTGGTATTTTTAAAATTATAACAGCATTTTTTAAGGATTTTATTTTTTGAAAATTTTCAAATTCTTTCCAAATGGTGGAGGGTATTCAAAGTTCGGCCTTCATTTAGTATAGATAAAAATATTGATATGCGCAAAATTACAAGAAAATCGAACATTTATATCTTATTTTATTCGAATTCCGATAAATTTCATATTCGTATTAGGTTTTTGGTTGAGAGAAATGTTTAGGCATAGCAAGTTTAAAGAATCGCTGAGTTGTTTCGCAATTTATGACAAATAATAGTATTGAAAATTGTGACCCTTTGTGGGTGAGATACCAGAAGGGGTTCACAAGTATATAAAATTCATTTCGCTTTCTTTGAGCGTCTGGTTTATCAAAAGCTTGAACCCTATGTGGGGAGGTACCAGCACAAATGGTCCGATCTCTACTATATTTATAACAGATCTTGCGTTGATGGAAATATTGAGATGACTATGTCTGAATGGAGCTTCATGGATTTTCAAAATTGTGAGTCTTTTTGGTGGGAGGTACTAGAAGAAGTGGACCGATATATCCCATCTGTCCAATTGTCCATTTTCGAACCTGACATTGTACTGACGCAAATATTAGGATTTGCAAAGTTGGAGCAAAGTAGGATTATAGATTCTCTTTCTGTGGAGAAAATATATATTTTTGAAAATTTCGACCTTTTGTGGGGGAGGTACCAGAAGGAATGGACCGATAAATTTAATTTTCACACCAGACCTTGGGTTACTAAAATTATTGGGATGTATGAAATCTGAAGACAATCGGACACTTACATTACATTTTATAAGAATTATAATTATTCAAAATCTTGACCCTTTATGGGGGAGGTACTTGATGGAGTGGACCAATAATGTCCATTTTCGCACCTGACGTAGTACTAACGCAAATATTAGGATTTGCAAAGTTGGAGCAAAATCGGATTATCGCTTCTCTTTCTGAGCAGAAAATATTTTTTTGTTGAACATTTGATCTTTTGTGGGGGAGGCACCAGAAGGAGTGGACCGATATACGCATCATAACACCAGATCTTGGGTTGATAAAAATATTGGAATCTGTGAAATTTGAAGACAATCGAACTCATACATAACATTTTATAAGAGTTGTAATTATTCAAAATTTTGAACCGTTGTGGGGGAGGTACTTGATGGAGTGGGCCGATAATGTCCATTTTAGCACCTGACGTAGTACTGACGCAAAAATTAGGATTTGCAAAGTTGGAGCAAAATCGGAGTATCGTTTCTTTTTCTGTGCAGAAAATATATTTTTTGAAAACTTCGACCTTTTTTGGGGGAGGTACCAGAAGGAGTAGACCGATATTGCCCATCTCCGAACTCGATCTAAGTTTGACAATAATATTACGATGCACCAACTTTGGATCAAATCGGATATTCTCTTCGAGAGTTATCGTTATCGTGAACGGACGGACGGAGGGACATCACTAGATCGACTCCAAATGTTCTGAAACGGTTTTGGTCCAAAGAGACCTAAGGTCTAAAACCATTACTTCGACTAAGCACATTTTGACCGTGTCGAATGATATATACCCTCTGTAGCCACATGGCTGAGGGTATAATGAGGTGTGATACTTTTTAAAAGATTCGAACCAGATATCTTATTTTATATAATAGGGAGTACAGGGTTGTCCATATTCGACGGACCCATCTGGCAACGCCATAACTTTTAACAGAGATGTCACATCGCTTAATGACATACCGCGTTTGCAGCGTCAGACCAAGCAGATTTTTACCATACGAAAAATTGTCGACTGGTAAGGCTCTTTCTAATCCGAAGAGGCCATATAAAAGTCGACTAAGGCGATCGGCCGAGAATATCGCTGCCGTACGAGCCAGTGTTGAGAGGTCCCCAAGAACATTCCAAAAACGCCGTTCTCAGCAGTTGGGCATGGCTCGGTTCACTTTACAACGAATTATTCGCATTGATTTGCATTTGTTCCGGTAAAAAATGCAATTGACGCAAAGAATGTTGCCTGCGGACAAGCCTCGTCGATTGGAATGGTCCGTCGAATATAGGCAACCCTGTACCCACTCTGTGTAGGCGTCTCTTATTACTTGGTACACTAAAAAGAAGACATTTTTGGTCTTGTAAATTTTTTATCAAAATATCTTGCTGTTTTGTATCTTCCCATTGCTAGTAATGCAGAAAGTAACACAAAATGCTGTAGTAGAGCGTTATGCAAATCAATTTTGGTTTCTAAAGAAAATTTCGACATATTGCCAAGGGGAAGGGAAACCCAGTATACCCCTTCTATAGGGTGGATTTTGAATCCGTATTTATTGAGAAAGATTATCGTATCTTTGGCATTTCCTTACATCTCACAAATGTAAAATTGCCCGGAACTGACAGAATCATGACAATCAGTGACGATTTTTTTAATTTCGCCCGCAAAACGTTTCATTTATGACATGAAATAATCTTTAAGTAAGTGTGTGGGTGAGTGTTTGTTCTATCGTTTGTTTGTTCTTTATCTGTGTGTCGGAATGATTATACGGCAGCGGTTAAATAATTCATTTAGTTGATTTTCTTTTCTATTTTTTTGTCATTCCTTGTCGATTGTCGATTTAAACGATTTTTCGAACAACGAATCAGTCAGCAGAGGCTGTTGATTATTGACAGCCTTCCCGGAATGATACGAATGAATACAGTGGCGATTATTGTAGCTGAGGGGGGGGTGCTGGATCTTGGTGAAAAGTGATGGCCTGCAAATGAGCGAGGAGTGTGCAAAACAGCAAAAAGTCCCAATTACAAAAATAACAAAATTTAAAAGGCAACGTCGACGACAATGACAATAATAATAATAACAACAAAAACAACATCAACAACAACGCGAAATATACCAGCAGCAGAAACAGCAGTTACAAACAAATGATTAAACCAAACTAGCAGCATGTCGAGATACAAACAATAACAACGACAACAACAACAACAATATTAAGTACTTAGTTGTACACACGTTTTTATAAGCGGTGGCAACAACAACAACAACGAAACAAACGCAATAATATCAACAGCAACAACACTGTGCACGGCGGCGATTACATTTGAACAAACTTAAATAACTAGAGACAGGCAAGCAGGCTGACGGAAGGACAGACAGACAGACAAACCGACATACTTACATATGAGGCAAATACTTATACTCTCTGATAGATGGATAAGTGTACATCTGTATGTAGCTCTGTTGTATAGGCAGTTCGTTTGAAAATAGGTATATCCACCACACGCCGATAAGATGTTGGATGACGATGCCGACTCTGACTCAGGGCGCATTATAATAAAATTGGCAGCACTCATATCAGCAGTGAAATAGCCACAATAACAACAACAACGTCACTGCTGTTACAGTGGCCGACCACAATGACCAAAGCAAGCGAGCGAGCTAGCACCGGCAACCAAACAACCAGCCAGGCAGTAACATTTGTTGTTACAACCAACTGAAACTGAGGTGAGGTGAGTTGGTAGCAGCTCCAACTACTGTTGTAACCTGGAATCAGTTAAACAAAAATTAATCGCGCGACCACTTCTATCAGCCATGGACAACAACTAGCAGACGACGTGATCATACCGATAAGTTCTGAGGTGCAAAATTGTTTGTAATATACTTATATATTTGTTATGACTACAGGTATGTGTATACATACATATGTTTGTATTATATATTCTTTGAAATTATTCATTTTCAATAGAATCGAATTGCGATAAGATATTGGCATTGCAGGAATTGTTTGTGATATTGAAATTAAGAAAGAATCAGTCTACTTAATAGCAGATATAAAGCCTCTGTTTGGCTGGATGGGCATATGATGTCTCATACCAATCATTTATTTTATCCCCTCAGCCATATGACTACATACGGTATATATCATTTCATACGGCCAAATGTGTCTCATCAAAAGAAGGGTTTAGGTCCTATGTCTCTTTGGACCAAATCCGTTTCAGAATATTTGGAATTGATCTAGGGACGTCCTCCGTTATCATCAAACTTAGATCGAGTTCTGAAATGGGCAATATCGGTCTACTCCTTTTGGTACCTCCACCACAACGGGTCAAAATTTTCATAAAAAACTTTACCTCTTAGAACAAAAAATGATTATCCAACTTTGGGCAAACTTAGCAAATCCTAATTTTTTTAATACCCTCCACCATACTATGGAGAGTATATTAACTTTGTCATTCCGTTTGTAACTCCTCGAAATACTCATGTCAGACCCAACAAAGTATATATATTCTTGATCAGCGTAAAATTCTAAGTCGATTTAGCCATGTCCGTCTGTCTGTCTGTTGTAATCACGCTATCTTTCGATCAAATTGAGATAGAAGGCTAAAATTTTGCACACGTGTTTATTTTTCCAGTAGGCAGGTGAAGTTCGTAAATGGGCCATGTAGGTCAACGTTTTCATATAGCCCCCATACAACGGTACCTCTCGATATTCGGTGTTTTGATGATTTTTGCGACATTATTCATCGGAATTGTTTCAAATTTAGCATTTGAAGATCGAAATGGATACTACAGCCTTTGACAGAAAATTGTCTGTTCAGGTCCACGTCTTCGTATAGCCCCCATACAACGGTACCTCCCGATATTCGGTATTTTGATGATTTTAGCGATATTATTCACCGGAATTGTTTCAAATTTGGTATATAGAGTTCGTAATGGAAACTACAGTACCTCCCTATATTCGGTAGGTACAATACCCAACGAAATTTTTTGAAATGTCGTATTGACGCTCGTAATGGATGCTATATATATATATATATATATATATATATATATATATATATATATATATATATATATATATATATATATATATATATATATATATATATAACAGAATTTTTGAAGGACTTTATTTTTTGAAAATTTCCAAATTCGTTCCAAATGGTGGAGGGTATTCAAAGTTCGGTCCGGCCGAACGTATTGCTTTTTAACTTTGCTAGGACTGGTCGGGGTATGGACAATATTGGTCAATTAATCAAGTGCCTTTTCCACTGCGGGTCAAAATTTTGAATAATTACAAAACGTGAAATATGAGTGCCATTGTGTTCAAATTTCGGACCTCTTAATATTTTTACAAACACAAGATATGATGTGAAGAACATAGAGAACGGACAACTCCTTCTGGTACCTTTACCCCAACTGTTCAAAATACTGAATAGCCATAAAGCTCATAAAATGCGAAATGAACATCCAATTCCTTTTAAACTCGGCAAATATTTTTATCAACACAAGATCTAGTGTGAAGATGGAATATATCACACCACTCCTTCTAGTACCTCCCCCCAATGGTTCAAAATGTTGAATAAATATAATTCTCTTAAAATCCGAAATTAGCATTTAATTCTCTGAAAATTTCACACATTTCAATATTTCTATTCAGCACATTCCTTATGATAATCAATTTCACTATTTGAGAAACATGCCAGTGATTCTTCCCAAATCTTAGTATATACAGGTGAGATAAAACAAGTAAAAAAGCTGTAAGTTCGACCGGGCCGAACTTTTAATACCTTCCACCATTTGGTACAAATTTGGCAATTTCCAAAAAAAAAAAAAAAAAAAAATAAATAAAATAAAATCCGTTAAAAATTCTGTTAAAATCTTAAAAATACCGAATGCCTATACGACGACGTGGACCTGCATGGGCAACTTTTGTCATAAGTTATTACAATAGTTAAATGCGAAACTTAAAAAAAAAATCTGTTAATAATGTAGCTTAAATCATCAAAATACCGAATATAGGGGGTACCGTTATATGGGGGCTATACGAAGACGTGGACCTGCACAGACAATTTTCTGGCACGGGCTGAAGTATCCATTACGAACTTCACATGCGAAATTTGAAACAATCCCGGTAAATAGTGTCGCTAAAATCATCAAAATACCGAATATCGGGGGGTACGGTATATGGGGGCTATACGAAGACGTGGACCTACATGGCCCATTTACGAACTTAACCTGGCTACTGGCAAAATATACATGTGTGCAAAATTTTAGCCTTCTATCTCAATTTGTTCGAAAGATAGCGTGATTACAACAGACGGACAGACAGAGAGACGGACATGGCCAAATCGTCTTAGAATTTTACCCTGATCAAGAATATATATACCTTGTTGGGTCTGACATGAGTATTTCGAGGAGTTACAAACAGAATGAAAAAATTAATATACCCTCCATAGTATGGTGGAGGGTATAAAAACTGCAACTGATTTTATTGAATGACAGCAAAATTATCGGAAATAGCATAACATTTTGGAATAAGTTTAGATTTGTTCAAATTGGTCACCTTTGCCACGAATTATGGCCTTCAAACGGCCAATGAAATCGTCACACGCTGCCCGAATGTAGCTCTGCGGTATTTTGGCCCATTCCCGGCGAAGGGCTTGCTTGTGGTGATCGACTCTTTGGTATTTTTAGTACCAACCTTGCTTTCCAAAATACTCTACACAATAGTCCAATGGATTGGTATTTGGTGGCCCTTGTGCCACCAACCATTCTTGGGTGGCACGTGCTGAGTGCGATGGTGCTGATTCCTGTTGAAATGTCCAAGGTCTGCGGCCAAAATGTTTGCGTGTCCAAGGCTTTAATACACCCTCCTGAATATTTTTGCGATAATATTAGGCATTCTGATGCCACGGATACGAGCGGAGAGCGACCAATGACTGTTATGGCGGCCCACACCATCACCATGGCCGGCACTTGAGTTCTGGTGGCCAGCCGAAGGTGTAGATTTTCAACTGACCTCTTTGGCAAGTAAACACGATCATTTTGTTTGTTTACAAACTGCTGGACAACGAATGTTTTCCCATCGTAGAAAAGCAAATTCGGCAGTTCACCACTTTCGGCCAAGTAAAGCGAAGCAACTCTTTGGCTCTTTTGAGTCTATTTTCTTTCTGTTGCGTGTAAGTTCTTGCGCTTTTTGGAATTTCAATGTCTCATTTTTCTATATTTGCCGAATGGAATATTGCGATATATTCAGCTCACGAGCCATTTTTTGACCACTGCGACGCGAGTTTCGATCACGTCACTTCTTTACTTTTCGAACCATTTCTGCTGATGTTGCTGTTTTCTTCCGTCCACATCCTTGACGTCGGTCTACGCTACTCTTGTTTCATATGATGTTGTGACTATTCGACAATTTGACTCTTTGTGTTGGAGGTACCAGAGGCTGTGAGTCGATATCACAATTTTCCAACCGAACCTAAATCTGATAAAAATATTGCGATATATCAAGTCCGAACGAAGTCGGGTACTTCCTTTGCTCTCGATTTTTATGTTCTCGTCAATTTTTATACCCTCCACCATACATAGTATGAAGGGTATTTTTGTCTTCAGGCAGGTCAATTTCGAAAAATTTTCAATAGAATTGTCCACGATATCGTGTATCCCCCATATAACGGCACCTCCCGATATTCAGTATTTTGATGATTTTAGCCACATTTTCAATGGAATTGTCTGAAATTCTACACAAGGAGTTTATGAGCACTTTATCCCCTGGCAGAGAATTGTCTATATAAGTCCAAGATGTCGTATATCCCCCTTACAACGGTATCCCCCTATATTCGGTATTCTGATGATTTTAGCCACATTTTTCAACGGAATTGTCTGAAAATTCACACAAGGAGTACCATGAGTGTACTCTATCCCCTGGAAGATAGTTATCTATATAGGTCCCTTTCAACGTTTGGTTCGTGAAATCGCTCAAGATTTCAAAACCGACTTGCGTTTCCAGAGCTCTGCTGGTGTGGTCTTGCAAGAAGCCAGCGAAGCCTACTTGGTTGGTCCTTTCGACGAAAAGCGATTTCACGAACCAAACGTTGGAAGGGACCTATATGGATAATTATATTCCGTCTTACAATTCTTGTGTGAATTGTAAGTCGATTCCGTTCAAAAATGTGGCTTAAGTCATCAAAATACCGAATAGCGGGGGTAGCGTTGTATGGGGAATATACGATACCCCCATATATTGACAACTTCCAATACTCCGTATTTTTAAAATTTTAAGAGAATATTTAATGGATTTTATATTTTTTGAAAATATCCTAATTCGTCCCAAATGGTGGAGGGTATTCAAAGTTCGGCCCGGCCAAACTTACTGCTTTTTTACTTGTTACTAATTGTATGGCTTAAGAAGGGGAAGGAGTGGACCAATATTATCTATCTTCGAATTTGATCTAAGTTTGTTGTAATTTTTTGGGGTCGATGAGGCTGATAACTTTAACTCATTGAATTCTCCCTTAGAAAATCCGAGATCGCCCAGAGGTCTAAAGAAGGATTTTTCTATACATAGTTCTATAATTCTCGTCAGTCACCCAATGGCACTGTCGGATAAGATCTATGACTACCCTTCTCAGAATGTGTTGAATAATTAGTAGACACCTAAATATTGTAAAGTAGGGGTTAAGTGTTGTTCCATGCTGCTATGCAACAGCTTTAAAGGCTTTTTCTTAAAATTCCTTCCGCGAAACATCATAAAAATTCCACTCCGAAGAAAGTCATTTCCATAACTCAAAAAGTTCTCATTTCGTTTTGGAATTGTTCTTCGTAAACGTTTTACTTCATAAAATTATCG